CATGTGACGCGCACCTTTATCAGCTTGGAAGATGACCTTTGTTGTATTGTATCGATGGAAGACTATTATTTTCAGCTTTTTTATTACAAAAATAAGCATTACACTTAATTTCAGCTTTGCGAATATAATTTTTTTTTTCATTTTTTTTTTGTTATTTAGGTGGGTGGAAGACGTACTTTGTCGTGAAATTTAGGTGGAAGACGATATTTTCTAAACTTTATTTGTTTAAATTAACGTGTACAACAAGTTTCATGCATGCGATTATGATTTTTTTTAAATTTTTTTTTACTGTAATTTGAACCCTCCTGCAAACCCCTGTCGTAAGGGTGCGTCGGAAGACGTTCATATTAGAGTTACATATTACTTGCATAACTCATATAAAAAAAATTAAACTTGCGAAAATGACCCGGAAATTTCTGTCGTTACCTTCCGGTCTATTTGGGGCATATTTCATTTCGTTATCAGATGACGGTAAAAAATTGCAGTGGGCTCTTGGGCTATTGTTGTATTTGTAGCAAAGTTATTTATAAAATTGTTAGCAAATGAGTTTCTTTTTTAAATAATAAAGAACAATCAGAAGTGTAAGTAATTATTATTAGTACAGCTCTATATTTATCATTTAATTTTATTATAAGGTTAAACTAAGCTATTTCAGTTTTACTATAGAGTTAAATTTAGTTGTTTAAATTTTATTATAATTCTTTTATATAATTAGTTATTTAAATTTGATTGTAAATACAATTTATGCTACAACTATTCAGTAATTTATTGTCGGAACAACATTTTTATTTAATCTGATCATATAAACTCACTTTTATCTAAAAATTCGCCTTAAAAAGGAATTGAACAAAACCTAATATTTGGTCTACCAATGTCTCAAATGTTATTTTCCCACAAATTCACATACAATTTTAAGATATCGTGTCTTTTAGAAATCGTAATGAAATTTTAATGTTAAGCAAAAAATTAGGAACTAATTACAGTCCTTACTCGAGAAAACTTAAATTAGACCTTTTCTTCCGTTTCTTCATTTCATATCTTTTATAATTAGGTTTAGTACACCTGGTCATGATTTTTATGCAAAATAATAAATAAAAAAGACTGACTAGAACATAATTAACGCTGAAATATTTAAATTTTGAAAAGTGTTAAGGAGGTCCTTTCGTCACACAACTCGCCTCAATTGTTAAAAAAAAAGTTATTAGATTATGACTAAAATTAATTTTTTTCTAATAGTTGAAGTCCTTATTTATCTAATATTGAACTTTTAACTATACCTTACCTTGCAAATTTTTGAGAATTTTTTTTTTAAATGTGAGTATTTGTACAGTCCTCACGAGAAAGTAAGTCCTCAACAACAATTCTCGAATTATACTATTATTTATTGATTAGATGGAGTAGAAAAAAACTAAAAGTAAGGTTTTTGAAATATTTAGATTTTGTTTTATACAATAAAATATATATATAGTAAACCGTGGAACTTATTGAGAAATTAATATTAAAAAATCACAAAAAAATTTCAAGTAACCTAGTTGAAAATTTTTTGTGATTTTTTAATAATAATTTCTCAATAAATTCCACGGTAACCTATATATTTTATTGTAAAAAACAAAACCTAAATATTTCAAAAACCCTATTTTTAGTTTTTTTCTACTCCATCTAATCAATAAATAATAGTAAAATTAATTATAATTCGAAAATTGTTGTTGAAATCTTACTTTCTCATAAGACACTGTACAAACACACACATTTTAAAAAAAAATGTTCTCAAAAATTTGCACGGTAAGGTATAGTTAAAAGTTCACTATTAGATAAATAAGGACATCTACTATTAGAAAAAAATTAACTTTAGTTATAATCTAATATTTTTTATTTAACATTGGTGGCGAAAGGACCTCCTTAACAGCTTTTTGATAACTATAATATTGCTTCTAAGGGAGGAGTAAGGGGTGTCGCTTATTTTGGCGTGTCATCTCCATATTATTCAAGCTCATTGCTGCGCGAATTTTGCCAAAACCGAAAACCTCGGTGGAAGGAATAGGGATATGTTCTGGGCTAAAATATTTGTATTGTAGTAGGTACCTAATATGAAGGTACCTAATTTTGTTAACGTTTGAAAGATGAAAAATTGCTAGTAGCTAAGTAAAAGTTTTAAAAATTATTATAACAAAAATAACTTATTGTATCTTACCTCAAAAAATAATCGTGCATTATAATTACATTGAAATTAATGTTATTAATACACATTATTTTTATTATTAACCGATTTTACAAATTATAGAGCAAAATGTTAATAATTGCGTTTAAATAAAATTATATATTTTTATAATACAGTTTAAGACTGATTTGTCTTATGCCTCCTCTTTACGTTGTTCAATGACTGGAAAATATTATTGGCCATATTCATGACCAGCATATAGGAAACTTTATGTTCCTTACTTTGAAAATATGTTTATATACAGGATGATTCATAGATAAGTGGAAAAGAAAACACACATTTTTTTAAATTAATTTTGTAACACCTTGTAACTTCGCAATTATTCACTTTAAACCTTAACTGTGATAGTTGGTTGAACTCAGCTCATCAATGGCATTCAAATAAGTAAAATAATAAAGGGTTTAAAAAAACGTAAAGTTGTGTTTTTCTCCTCCCTCGGATACGCCTATGCTTTAGAAAGAATTTATAATAATGGTTTTGCTTGAATCATCAATACAGTTACTTTACCTCTACCTGTACCGCAGACGAAGTTAAGACCGTGAAAGTTTTAGCTAATGTACAACTGTTTATTATGTATCTAAACATATAATTTCTCAACTTGAGTCTCTTTTCCGAATGAGTTTGTGTAAAAAATGTAAAGATGTCTGAACCCGTAGGTGAGTTATTGGTAATTTTGTTAAGTTTTGCATTTGTAGGTATATTAAATGTTATTGTAGATGATAAATTAGATAAATAATAAGTCAGAAAAATGTGCTATCCGTGAGTAAACATGTACCCACCTATTTCTTACCGCATTTAGAATGCTCACATGCGTAGCTCAGCATTTTTATGTGGGTTTTTGGGATCATTTATTACTTTTATTACATTTTTCTTTATTTCTTGGTAATAATAAGTTATTTAAAAAAGTATGCGACATTAACTTTATTTTTAAAAAATTCAATAAGAAAAAATAAAAATACTAAAAAAAGAATAACAACCCACGCACCAAAATATATTTATATTACCTACAATTTCTTACCGAAAAGAAAATAATAAATACCTAAATCATATTTTTTCGTGCCTGTAAACATTTTCTGACAAAAGAAAACTATTTTGTTAGGTTTTTATTTGATTCATATCGAAAAACATTTTTAGAAGGTAACAAAACAATATAATATCAATAATTTTAAAAAATGTAAAAATTAATTTTCTGTAAGCTACAATGGCTACGGGACACATATTATTTTTCTTAACTGTATGGTAAATTTGCAATCTCGGACAAGGCCGGAACCTTGAAAAATTAACAAAAATCAACAATTCGCACTTTTTGCAGTCGCAAAAAATTAGAAAAGTATTGCAAATTTTACAGAACGATTTAAATACCTTCCTATAAGTAAAAGCAAATTTGCAACGCTCCAAGATTAAAGCAAATGATTGTTAATTGTCTATGGTCAATTTTACATTACGAAATTAAAACAAAAGTATTGCAAATCTAAGGAAACAACTAAAAAATACATTTATAAGTAATTTTGAATTTGCAACCTTATTCCTATCACTCAAATATTTAAATAATTTCCTCTTTACTGTTTTACTGACCAATTTTGTATTGTAAAATTAATAGAAAAGTGTCTAGGGCAACAAAAAAAATATATTCATAAGCAATATGGAATTTTCTACTTTATACTTATGAAGTAAAATCATGGGCGAAGTTAAGGGGGGGCTTGGGGGAGCTAAGCCCCCCCAAAAACCAAATTAGCCCCCCCAAAAATAACTCAAACATTTATCACACACCCACACATTTTAGAACAGAAATTAAAAAACAAAAAGAATTGGGCTATTTGATTAATTCTGCAATTCTACATTTAATCTAGGAGGCAGTGATTTTTTTTCGTAGTCATTTTTCCAATCGGTGTATATGAAAATAATCTGTTCTCTTAGGACCGATTCCACCGTTGTGTTAAATGAAGTTTAAAATGACATTTTTACATTAACAATGTCATTTTAAACTTCGTTTAACACAATGGTGGAATCGGTCCTTAGTGACAAAAAACAAAATTTTTGAGTCTGGCACTTTTTTTCCTAGTCATAAATATTTTACATTTACTACACTAGAACATAAAGTTTATAAAAATAGCAGACTGGCTTATGTCAGATAGCGAAAATTGAGTTTGGCTGAAAATTTTTGGATTAAAAAAATTGGCTGATAATTTTCCAGGTTCGAAATTTTTTCAAATCAATTGATACAATCATAAATTGTAAATAATAATAAGTCTGGCTGATTTTCGAAATTGGCAAATGAGTCTGGCAACATTTTCAAAACCGGAAAAATATATAATTTTTGCTTTTGTCACATGATAGAAAATTTGTCACATTATAGACTATATTATAATTGTACACCTCTATTTTATAGTCGATCAAATGCTGTTATTTTAAAACGCTTCTATGACAACCAGAGGACATTTTTCTCTTGGTGGGTACCCTGAAAGAAATTATACTGAAATTTTTTTTGACACTTAAGGAGCTCTTTTATAGATATGTTATGACGCAACGCAATAGTGTGATTAAAAAATGTGCTATTTCAGTGGTTAATATTTTATTTAATAACAATTATAACTAGATAGAAATATATTACATTTATTTTAAGTAAAATAATAATTAGGTATTTCGCGTCAACTAAACGATTTCAAATAAAATGACCATTGTATGGCCATCTTTGCAAATTTGATTTTAGTCGTTTTAATGCATTTCTGTAAAGTTTTAAAATTTTTATATTTTGCTGTAAAATTTTCTTACACTGACATTTACAATCATGAAGGCCTGCCAGACTCGCAAGTTGTGTCCGACCGAAGGGTCGGTTATGGTTTTAGCCAACTTCGGCCTAAAATAAGAGTTTCAACTAGTTTCGGTTTCGGCGGAAAACTAGCCATAAATGCAGCGGAAAGCCAAACTATTTTCGAGAGTTATCGCATCATACTTGGTGGTGTCCGGCACAATGGCGACTGTGCTGGGTGCCATTCCTGCATAGTGCACGTACACACAAACTTCTCTGCTATGTTCCAAGTGAACAGTCTTCAGTGCTCCTGGCCTAATTTATTCGGATCGGAAAAGCAATTTTTTGGGTGGAAACGTGAAAAAATATTACTTCTAGCCTACACCGTTAGACTGTTTACTTATGAATATTAATTTAATAATAAGTAACAACTCGACCATTCACTGTTGGGTTCTAATTAACAGTGCTGTTCCTAAAGTGACGCTGGGAAACAGTAGCAAAGCCTACACAGAACACGAGGCTAATGGCCTTAGTAGTCGATGCCGATGACACCAGATTAAAAAAAATAATAATAAGTAACAAACATATTTTATCAGCTGAATTCGTTTGTTTTTTTTTTTAATAGAAATTATACATTACTTTATATAATTCCCTTGATAATATTGTTTTTGTTACAAAAAATCTACTGCAGATGCAGAAATGATTGCTACTTTGTAATTCACTTACTTTTATTTTATTTCAAAAAGCTTCTTTTGATCACATAAATAAATAGTAAGTCTAAAACAAGGATTATACTAAGATATTGCAAATTTCAATAAGAAATTGTCTTAAAAGAAAAGTCTTGTTTCTGTTTCTGCCAAAACTAAGAAAGGAGCTAAAATTCAGTTTCTGTTTCGATTATAAATCCCTGTTTGGGTCGGAGCTAACAAGCCAGGTAGTTAAACGAGGAGAGAAAACCCAAAAGTGGCGGTGAAGCTGAGGACAGAGCAACTGCCTTCCACACAAATAGCCCGGATTAGAATCTGAGCTAGATATTATTTTTTTTGTTTATTTTATTTTATAAATTAATAAAATTCATAAATTATTTTAAAATTAGTTATTTTGTCTTAACTTAAAATAATTTTTTAAATTTATAGATTTTCGTTAGCGTGTCGTAGAAAAAATATACTGTACAACTCAAGTGGAATGTCCATATCCACTCTTGTTGCAGAAACTACTATTTCATGACTACGAAAATGTAGCAATTTTTTGTGATAAACATTTTTCAGTATTTTCACCTTATATAAATACATATATATTATATACGATATATTAACCATACTCACATTATCCAGAATTTTTTTACCTAACTTCAATATACCTCTTACTACTAGAACTATTACATATTATATTAGATGACTAGGGCTAGGGCGTTAGCTCCCCCCCCCCCAGATCTGATGTCATAACTTCGCCCATGAGTAAAATATTTAGATATTTCCGTTTTTTATCGAGCTTACGGAGAATATTTATATTTACCACATATTAAATAATTGGCCGACACGGTATTACACTATTTTTCTGATACCATTCAACAACATGATTTAGATTAGACGAGTTTCTGACAGTCAACTACAATTTTCAATAAATTATATTTTAACATTGTTTTAAGCTAACGAAACAAAGTAAAAAAACTGGATATTCTTATAAACATTGCATGACACACACATTCATACATTTCACATTATTAATGAATATGTATATTTATTTGCAGTTTCTAGAGAAGATATTCCTCTAAAAAATGGAAAAATATCTAAGAAATGGTATGCCTGTGATGACGATTATTTTAGCGGTTCCAAATACATAAATGTAGCTTTCGGTACTCTTACTGTCATCATTACCTTTGCTCTAGTTATTCAAATTTATTATGGAGATTATCAGGTAAATAATTCGTGCTATTAATAAATTGTCTTTTATTCTGCATTTTTTAAACATATCCAAAAACATGATTATGGAAGAATTAATAAGGTAAGGACATACTTTAAAGAACTGCGAGTTTTAATTTAAAGTTGTTGGGTTAAAAGTTAACCAAATTTTGCACCAAAAATGTATTTTTGTTCTTAATGTTAATTTATCTGGAATTTCCCAACTATGGTCCATTTAATCGATTTTGGCGTGTATGTACTGTAATGTGAGCCATTTCATTATTAAGTCATGCTCTAATACTCCAAGTCCCTCTCTGTATTATTTGGCCTTTGAGGCTCAACTTGTCCGCTTTTTATACATAATTGAACCCCTTAAGACCAAACCTATGGGACGACTATGGTGGACGTGTTTTCGATGATGTTCGAGAAAGGACGAGATAATGTTTCTAGTGTATTGGAGAGAATATGTGAAAATTACTAGAACGTTCTGGAGCCTCCACCATTTTTTTTTAAATTTGTATATAAATTGGCGGAAGAACTCGGTGCAATAAGTTGATATATGGACAGTGAAGATAAATAGTAATTAGTAGATAGACAGTGGTGAATATAAATAGTGATCAGTTTAAAGACATTCGAAGTATATATAAATTAAAATAGTATTGTTTAAAATAAATAAGTGTTTAAATAAATTATTAATAAATAAACTGTTGTTTGAAAATAAACTAACATCACATTGGTGTCGAGAAGTGGAATAGTGTAAATAAATAGTGGACAATCATGGCTAAAAGACTTTGTGATTTAAAAGTGCCTGAGCTACGCCGAGAATTAGAAGAACGTGAACTGGAGACGACAGGGAAGAAATCAGATCTGGCAGAACGACTTAAAAAAGCACTAGAAAATGAAGGTTTGGATCCGGAAACGTTTTTATTTTCGGATGATGCATCTGCTATAATTTCTTCAATTTCTTCCGATATGGAAAGTAAAATGTCTTCTATGAAAACCGATATTTCTTCTAATATTTCCTCATTGGAAAATAAAGTTTCTTCAGACGTTTCTTCTATAAAAAGTGATATTACTTCCTTAGAAAGTAAAGTTTCGTCCGATATTTGTTCTTTAGAAGAAAAAGTGTCTTCTGATGTTTCTTCCGTGAAAAACGAAATCTCTTCTTTAGAAACTAAAGTTTCTTCTGATATATCTTCTTTAAAAGATGAAATTTCTTCCGACTTGGAAAACAAAATGTCTTCTATGGAAAATAAATTTTCGTCTAATATTTCTTCCGAAATGTCTTCGCTAAAAAATGAAATTTCTGCTGATGTGGAAAATAAGATGACTTCCGTCGAGGAGAAAATAATGTCTTCTGTTAAAAAGAAAATAAAAGAGATGGAAAAGAAGATAGAAGAACTCGAACATACTGAACAGGCCAAGGACGGTGAAATAAAGTGCCATGAGGTGGAGTCGAAGGTGAAATTGGAAGGAGCTGTAAACTCTCCTCGTGTTAAGACCCCAACTTTCGACGGAAATGTCATGGACGAACTATCTTAAGCAGTTCGAAACAGCTGCCAGAGCAAACGAGTGGTCTGAACGAGAGAAGGCAATAAATTTGACCATCGCCCTTCGAGGAGACGCTTTGGATGTCCTTCAGACTATACCCGTGGAAGAAACAGATTATTTTGAACAACTCAAAAAGAGACTAAATATGCGATATGGCCACGAACACTTGGAGCATTTGTACCAGTCACAGTTGAAGAATCGTAACCAGAAACGAGACGAGACTCTTCAGGAATATGAAGTAGATATTGCCAGGTTGGTGCGATTTGCCTATCCATCAGCTCCGGAAAACATGATGGAATGTTTGGCAGTCCAAACATTTGTTGATGGACTCCGTGACCATGAGATGCAGAAAACACTCCGCTTAGCTCGCCACAAAACATTGGTCGATGTCTTGTCCGCTGCTTTAGAATATGAGGCAGCTACGCAGGCTTCTGGTGGATACAGTAAAGTAAGGACTGTAAGAGAAGAAGAAGAAGAGGAAGGTAAACTCGACCAACTGGTAAACATGATGAAGAGCCTTACCGACAGAAAGATAAAGACGAAGACCATCAGATGTTGGAATTGCGGTGAACTGGGACATGTACGCAGTTCGTGCAAACGCCCTAGGGTCCCAACAAATCAAGACAACACGCCACAGGAAAACTAGAGCGGGTCGGCCTAGAGGGGGCATCTTCGACCCGAAACCGTTCCAAAGACCCTCTCATACTGATAGCCTCTTTGAAATGTCGCGATGATAGTGTATACGTAGACGGCGAAGTAAATGGTAAAAAGTATATACTGTTGGTGGATACTGGAGCAACTAGGACTATTATACGACCAACAACTATAAATAACCGTAAGAAACTTCTACCAACAAGATTGCGACTACGGACTGCCACAGGTGAAAATGCTAACATCCATGGGGAAATCCAGGTTCAATTGGGAATTGGTACACAAAAGTTCACTCACACTGTTATTGTCGCTGATATCGAAGAAGATGTTATTCTTGGAGTGGATGTAATGAACTTACATGGTTTCCAGTTGGACTTTAAAAACAGAGTGATCAAAGTTTATTTATTTATTTATTTATTCACGGGTAACCCCATTAAAAAAAATACAATATTAATTAGAATAAAAACAGCAAAATAAATACTTAACAAAATACTAAACTAATACTAATATAGGTAATATTGGTGCATATGGGGACAGTACCGTGCCAGTTGCTGTACAGGAGGATACATGCAGTGGTACCTGGCAGAAGTGAAACTGTTATAGTAGCACGGCTTCAAGAAACGATGGAAGAAGGAACACCTGTGATGATGGAACCTTGGAACCACGATGAAGAGGTTGGACGAGGCATTCTGATCGGAAAGGGGTTGGTCACGACTGCTAAAGAAATTCCAGTCCGTCTCATAAACGTTAATGATCACCCGATTACCATCAAGAAAGAGACCAGAATCGGAACTTGTGTACCAGTAACTTCCATAATTCGTCAGACAATAACTTCTGATAATTCCAACGACAAATTCGAGCAAATGATTGCAGTTGCTGGTCAATCTCTGAATCAATCAGAGAAGAAGAAAATAAAGGAATTTCTTCGACGATATCGTGACATTTTTGTACCAAAAGGAGGAAAAACAGGAAGAACTTCTGTTGTAAAACACAAAATTGACACTGGTGACGCCAGGCCAATTCGTAAATCGGCTCGAAGATTACCAAAGGCCAAGAGAGAGGAAGCTGAAAGGATTGTTCAAGACATGAAGGAAGACAGGGTGATAGAACCTTCTACCAGCCCTTGGGTCTTTCCGGTAGTCCTGGTCCAGAAAAAGGATGGAACTACGAGGTTCTGTGTGGATTACCGTCAGTTGAATAATGTTACCAAGAAAGACAGTTACCCTCTGCCTCGTATCGACGATACCTTGGACACATTGGCCGGAAGTAAACTATTCTCTACCTTAGACTTGAAGTCTGGATACTGGCAGGTGGAAATGGACCCAGTAGACAAAGAAAAGCCAGCTTTTACCACCGGATCTGGATTGTGGCAATTCAATGTCATGCCATTTGGACTATGTAATGCCCCCGCGACATTTGAAAGACTTATGGAAAACGTATTGAGATGGTTATCATGGAAAACGTGCCTGGTATATTTAGATGACATTATAGTCTTGGGGAAGACATTTGATGAACATCTTAAGAACTTAGAAGATGTTTTTAAAAGACTTCAAGCTGCCCAACTGATGCTAAACCCCAAGAAGTGCCAACTATTCCAAAATAAAGTTAATTACCTGGGTCATGTAGTCAGTAAGGATGGCGTGGCTGTAGATAAGAAAAAAGTCGCTTCTATCAAAGAGTGGCCACAACCAAAGGACAAACACCAAATAAGAAGTTTTCTTGGGCTTTGTACGTACTACCGAAGATTCATAAAGAAGTTTGCAGATATTGCTAAACTACTAACGCGACTCACAGAAGAAGCGAGGGAATTCTGCTGGGACGAGGACTGCCAAACTGCCTTTGAAACATTGAAGAACCATTTAACAACAGCACCAATACTAGGCTACCCACTACCAGAGGGAGAATTTATCCTGGATACTGATGCTAGTAATGTGGGAATTGGAGGAGTGCTTTCACAGATTCAGGAAGGGAAAGAAAGAGTACTAGGTTATTTTAGTAAAGTGCTCTCGAAACCTGAGCGGAATTACTGTGTGACGAGAAGAGAACTCCTGGCAGTTGTGAAATGCGTGGAACACTTCTACCAATATCTGTACGGAAGGAAATTTTTAATCCGGACCGATCATGCAGCCCTTAAGTGGTTGATGCAATTTAAGAACCCAGAGGGTCAAATCGCCAGATGGATTGAACGACTTCAAGAGTACGACTTTAAGATTGAACATCGAGCCGGAATAAGTCACAGAAATGCCGATTCTCTCTCTAGAAGACCATGTCCAGCAGAGTGCTTCCACTGCAACAAAGCGGAATCCAAAGAAAGTGGGCTACTAAGAACAACTGTAGTCAACGATGAGTGGGCTCCTGCTAAAATTAGGGAAGAACAAGAGAATGATACCGTTTTAAAGAAGATGCGACAATGGAAAGAGGAAAATCGTCGACCTACTTGGCAAGAAGTATCTAATCTCTCTCCAGTACTTAAGTCGTATTTGGCTCAGTGGAACTCCTTTATCCTGGAAGATGGCTTATTAAAGCGAGTAATTGAAAATGATGATGGTTCCGAGAACAGAAGACAGTTGGTCATTCCAAGAAGTAGAGTGGCTGAAGTACTTCGTCAATTACACGACAGTCCATCAGGAGGACATCTCGGTGTTAGGAAAACCCTTCAGAGAGTTCGGGAAAGGTTTTACTGGATGAACAGTTCCGATGATGTAAAGGACTGGTGTAAGAAATGTACCACCTGTGCTATGAGTAATGGACCTCAACGAAAAAGGAAGGCTCCCATGAAGCAATACAACGTTGGTAGCCCATTTGAGAGGATCG